GTGAATTGTCGTTTGAATAACGCAAAATATGTACTACTTGAGTAATATCTGGTAGTAGTGGGAAGAGAAGAGCTGAACATCGAGCTCAGTGACGGGTAAATACAGAATTTTCTATAACCAGGAGTGAACGGAAACGGGCTGATATCGATATCGACAATTAAATAGATTCTTCTTCTGATTCTTCAACCGTGGAAATTTCGCAGACCCTGGTCTACTTCTTAGTAGACCAGGTTCTGTAGACCAGGGTCTGCCAAATTTCCACGGTATATACCTACATAGTCATACCTACATATATATAGTCTTCGGTATTCGGTATATATTATACTTAGTCGGGTCATAAGTTCTGTCAAAACCTTATATTTTTAATTTTCGATTACTGGCCAGAAATTCTTCGACTTATTTTAAAAATAGAACTTTCGCGCTTGTAGAAAATAAAAAAGAAATTATTTTTTATTCATTTTTAAATATGGAGTGGTCGAATAAAGAAGACAGAATCGCGGTTATCGCGTTGCACCGCTGTGGTTACGCGCCAAAAGACATTTTCAATATTCTTCAAAATTTGAAAATAACGTTACGGTTTGTTTATCGTACTATCAAACGATACACCGAAGAGTCAAGCTTCGAAGATCGTAAGAGAAGCGGCCGACCTCGCACAGTTCGGACACATAAGGTCATCAAAGCAGTGAAGGCGCGAATCGAACGAAATCCCGTACGTAAACAAAAAATCCTAGCTCTGCAGATGGGGCTAAGCAGAACCACTGTTAAAAGAGTACTAAATGAAGACCTGGGACTACGAGCTTATCGTAAAAAGACAGGACATTTTTTGAACGAGCGTTTAAAAAAAATTAGGCTAGACAGATCCCGCGCTTTGCTACGACGGTACGCGGGAAAAAAATACCGCGAAATTCTTTTTTCGGATGAAAAAATTTTTACTATTGAAGAAAGTTTTAACAAACAAAATGATAAGGTGTATGCCCACAGCAGTGAAGAAGCAAGCGCGCGTATTGCGAGGGTCCAGCGTGGGCATTACCCTTCCTCATTCATGGTTTGGCTTGGAGTCTCATATTCAGGCGTAACTGAGGTGTTTTTCTGTGAAAAAGGTGTGAGAACTAGTGCCGAAGTTTATCAAAATACTGTCCTAACAAACATAGTGGAACCTCTTTCTCAGACAATGTTCAGGAACAGGCATTGGATATTCCAACAGGACTCTGCACCGGCTCATAAGGCACGAAGTACGCAAGACTGGTTGATCGCTCGTGGAATTGACTTCATCCGGCATGAAGACTGGCCCTCTTCTAGTCCAGATTTAAACCCACTGGACTACAAGATATGGCAATATTTGGAGGAAAAAGTCTGTGCTAAACCTCACCCGAATTTGGAGTCTCTCCGAGCATCTCTGGTTAAAGCAGCGGCAGACATAGATATGAATGTGGTGCGTGCAGCGATCGATGACTGGCCGCGTAGATTAAGGGCATGTGTTCAAAATGGGGGAGGGCATTTCGAATAATGTAAATAAAATTATATTGTACATTTAATGACCTTTCATTTCATATATAATTTTTAAATAATTGTCAAAAGGCGTATAAGTTATTACATCAAAAGTTTGTGACAGAACTTATGACCCGACTAAGTATATTCTTATAAGACTTCCACAGAAGTCTATTCTTATAAGACTTCCACAGAAGTCTTATCGTATTGATTTCTTTATTTGAATTTTTTCATTTTTTTATATTACGCTTCTATATTTTTTGGAGTTTCGAATTTAATACAAAATTTAAACGATTATTTTTATAATTTTAATAAATCGATTTAAGTAGTTTTCCTAAAAAAAACACAATACTATTTTCTACTGCACGTCACAAAGTTACAAACCTTCGTAGTATTGATCAGAGAGGTCTAAAAAATGTGATTGTGATCTATGACGAGGGATTGAACCAGCTATTTGCGGATTCTTGAGAGTGCAGGCAATCCATCAGTCAATTTGCGTCCAAAGCTCTTACGACGCGCACTCTAAAATAGAATCGGTAGTGTATTGTTTTATCTGTGGTTCACGCCACCATTTTGTGCAATGTCATGTGACTGATTTTGAGGTTAACTGTTACTTATATATTTTTTTTTGTGATAAAATTGTTTGCCGTTTGATGGTTTTATTTTCATTTAAAAATTTATAAAACTGAATTCATAGGTTATGTAGGTAATATCTTAGCAGAATTTCTTATGACACGTATAACATGTATTTGATAATTCGTAAATCACTCACAAAATCAAAATTAGTAAGGAAATTGGAAATTTGGATAACTATTAATTATTGTCTTATAATCGTGACATCAGTCAAGCCGTGGTATGGAACACAGATCTAAGCATTTTTGTCAATCGTATCTAATATTTAATTGTTTATCAGTTTCGTTAAAATTAATTTTCACTTTCGAAATTCTTAGTTCAGAATTGCTTTGGATTTTCTCACTTTCAAAAAGTCCATTTTAACTTGTATTACCAGCAAATGCATGTTTTTTACGTAGCTTTTTGATGTAAGTAAATCTGGAACAAATAAAAAATCGATCAAAATATTGGTAAACGATTAAACGTCAATCGACATGACAATTAATTAATATGCATTGCATTTGCATATGATAGTAAAACATTGTCCAAACATGTTTTGTTCGTAAAATTATTTTAACGATCATTTTGTTTACACTGTTATCAATCATTACTACACTATCCAGCAGTCAGTCATTCACTATGGATATCATTATTATCAATACAATGGGATCAAATCAAAATCATTTATTCCAAACTAAACCATAAATAGGTAGGTTTTGTAACGTCAAAATAGAAAAGTAGTCTGTCAGTCTGTTCGTCAGTGAAGCTAGGTGCGGCTAGGGAACTTGAAACAATCAAATTTTTAATTAAATTAAAATTAAATTTAAAAATTTATCATTATCCAGCCATGCCGCAGATCAAAGGCCTTTTCTCACACGGAGAAGGTTCAACCAATAATCAACACTCTTGCACAAGGCGGATTGGTAGCAATATGAACCTTTTTTAATTCATACAAACTTATACCTAGTCAAAGTCAAAATCATTTATTCCAACTGAACCATAAATAGGTACCTACTTTTGAAACGTCTAATCATAATTAATTATACTATACTATTCAGAAGCTCGTATTGTGTATAAAAACCTACCATACATCCCACTAAGTAATGGACAGGTACTTAAACCACACAACATCCCAAATATACTAAATATTTATAATTGAAACATTTTCACTTAGACCTTGGAGACCAGACTACATCGAAACACCAACCGCTGAACTGAAGTTTAGTTTACAAGCATAAGTGTTACCCCACAGACAGTAGCGCGAAACTCCGGCGGGATGGAGTGCTCAATTTGTACCCGTTCCCAAGAGTCGGCCGAGCGTCGAGGAACACGTGGCAGCTACCTCTCAACGATCTGTATCTCGGTACGTTACTTTAACTTGGTCTTTGCTGTTTATTTAAGTATATATGTATATTATGTACACGCAGACATAGACATTTGATGTGCAGGTAAGAAAACAAAGACCTCGACTTCGAGATCGAGTCGAAGTCTAGACTTCGTCATTAAGAGTTTTTTGTTGTTGTTTCATTATATTGTACAGTTTTTTAACAATTTATGTCTGACAGTCAAGGAAGATATTTCATAAGGGATTACGGAAATGTCTTCTTCACCCCTAAAAAAGAAAAAAAGTCGGCGTCATTAAGTAGTTACTTAACCAACTATTTTCGAAACAAAATCAACACCATGAAATATAAAAAAAATACAATTTATTCGTCAAAGTCACAGAAACATGTGACATTGTGAATCAGATCTTGAAAGTCAAATAAGAAGACCTACTGACCAAGTCACAAAGTAAAGTTAGTTTCAATATGCATACTGACTTAGAACTATCACAGTGTGTTCAAAGTGTACTGTCATCTGCAAACTTTGACATTCCCATGAGAGAACGAGACGCAAGTATAAATAAGCAAATCGTGGGAGCGAGATAGATAGATGGTACGAAGGTCAGGGCAAATCAAACATACTATATCACCAAATCAATCCAGATACAGGATGTCCTATCAAGATTATCAGTTTGGGTAATTTGTGAGTGGAATTGCAATCAACTAATGAATCAATCCATTGTATACACAACGAAGATTATCAGATAACGGATTGGGGTGTTATCAGCTGTGAATCTTGATGAATTACTATTAGGACAATTTAGCCGGAATTTACTACTAATATTCTGTTGTGTTAATATTTTGTTATTTAAAAATGTTACAATAAATGATAGCGATTGATTGTATTGTCGATCAAATTTCAACCTTACTGACTGTGTTATGCATCTTCTGGAACATCTTTGTACTATGCACCAAATGGCATTTAAAGCGATAGGCTTGACGTGCCTCAAACAGCCATTAGACCATTACAGATGGGGCCTAACAGGGTTGGTGTTTTTATAATAACTATCGTGAGACATACTAAATTAACTAAAATTCGCGGGTTACTCACGTGTGAATGTTGAGAAAAGCTCTACTAGTTTCGAACCACAGAGGGGTTCTTCCTCATGAGCAGCGTGCGCGGACGCGGCGACGTCGCCCTCTAAGAACCCCTCGAACCCCTCTTTGTGGTTCGAAACTAGTAGAGCTTTTCTCAACATTCACACGTGAGTAACCCGCGAATTTTAGTTAATTTAGGGTTGGTGTTTAGCCAGGGTTGCAGGGCAAACGCAATTACGTATTGCAGCCTCGGCCTGGAGCAAGAGAAAGAATTGGGTGGTTTTGTAGTCAGGAAGAGCCTTAAGAACTCCCTCTCGGCTCACCCCGGCGCAAGAAATAATTGATGATTTTCCTCCTTTAAAAAAAACCTTTGGCTTGATATAAAGCTAGCACTAAAATGGCTTGAAACACTAATCAGACAAATCTCAGAGTCTTATAAATTCTGTTTTAACTTCTGCCTTAGATTACGAGCCATCAACAATGGAGAAGCGACAATTGTACGCGTTTCCGCGCGTCGGTCGCAGCGATTTGTCGCTGTCGCGTGTCGACTCTCACGAGTTCCAGCCCACGGCCGTGCGGCGCACTGAGAGTCCCGGCATGTGGTTCGGACCCCGGCTCGGAAGGTCCTTCAAGACTGATGACGATGGTAAGGAATTGGTTTATATGAAGAATAGAATATTTTTTGTGGTGGCCCAGAGGTTAAGGTACCTGCTTCTTGAGCATGAGATGCGGGTGCAGGTATTAAAGTGATTTTTGTCAAGTAATATTTTCTTTTTATGATTATTTAGATACCACTGACATACTGTGACGGAAAACATCGCGACGAAATCTGGACTTATAATTCTAATTATAAGTTTTAAATCCGACTTGAGCAAGCGTGGTGATTAAAGCTCAAATCTTCTCCGTGTGTGAAGAGTCCTTTGCTTAACAGTTGGCTCTTATAGGCTAATGATGATGATATATGATATTGTGTTTGATGATGTTTGACCAATTAGACATCTAACTTTATATTACAAGATCGCGTCACAAAAACTTGTCAGAAGAAGGGAAGGATATATGTTTCTTGACTGAAGTCTAGCGTCTCGTCAGCTCATACAGTCCTTAGCCCAACCGCATGACGATTCTATAAAATTTGTTTGATTTTGAATCTTGTTCGATTGTGATGTGAACTTCGAAGTGACGGGAATATTAAATTTTATTTAGAATACCACTTTTAACGTCATCTCATACTTTATCTATCAAAATGTTGCAATTAATTTAGTTCCACTCGCAAGTGTAGCGCTATTGTACCACTACTCACAGCGAATTCAGATTCGAAGTTTAAAATTAAGTCTTACAGAATCACACTGCTGCGCATCATACTATTTATAATAACAAAAACATGTCTTGCGTGATGAAATATTTATAACGTTTACTTTTTTTATTGCCATAATATATCACATTATCTATATCTATATTTTTTTATTAACAGATTTCACAATTCAAAACGAAAACAATGACCACAGCGAACCTGAACAAACGGAACCCGTGCACGAGGAGCGGAGGAAGAGACAGACCCTGAACTAAAGCACACCCACTATGACCACTGACGAAAGAACCCTAAAATACGGCGCATATTTTACTAGTACCATTTTAACATCATCCTGTACATTAAATGTATTTTTATTGATTGATTTTATTTCAAATTTCGAAAACTTAAATTATTTCAAGGACTCTCTGCGTACTGGCTGATTTTTTAAAACTGCAACACAGTTGTGACTTTAATTTTAGTTATGTCAATTTAAAAATAGAACTATTTCACAGAATTAGACAGAACAGTTGACAATATGCGCCGAATTTTAGAACCATAGATTAATATAAAAGTTACAGGTAGATGACACTAGTTGTACCGTCAAAACGCCTACACACAATTATTAAATGAATTAATAATTATTATTGCATTAAAAATTAATTGTAATCATAAAATAAATCGACCGTCAACATTATTATAAGAATACAATGTAAGTACCAAATGTATTTAGTAAGATTAATGTTTATTAATAAGTATTTATTGCCAAATTTATTTCTTAGGCTGGGCGGGTTTTATTCTTCCGTTTAGATAAATCCGTGAAATGATTTTGGCAATTTATTATTATTATTAGTAATATAAAAATTGAATGAGATTGTTTATGGAATTCTAATTTATTGAAATAAAGATCAGTCGGATATGTTATTTGTTTTTCTTTTTGTATTTTAAACTAAATAACCTATTTTACAGTTGATACGAAAAAAACATAACAAAATTATCAATAAAATATCTATTAAACGTTACTCAAATGAAAATAAGAGGTAAAGTTATGGAGTTTAATAACATGAGTAGTCGATTATTTTTTTGTTAAATTATTTGATTAAATTACAAAATAACGAAACACTTACTTTTTTCTATACTAACGTATCAAATTTGAAAAAAGAACTTTAAAACACTACCACACACAATTCCTAATTCGAATATTTAAAAATAAAAAAAACAACAGCTATTTAAAACGTGAAAGGTAAAAAAAGAAATTCATTATTTGTACAACAGATTGGAATGGCTAACGGCAGCCATTTTTATTTTATAATGTTCCATTTCTTCTACTTATTAAATGTTGTATTATTTAAACGCGGGATCATCCCGCCCCTAGCAATGGCCAGCAAATTAAAAAGAATCAACATCCTACTTGTCTAGGATTAAAAAATGTTCTCATTTTGATAGAAAAATTGTTCTATAAATATCAGAAACTAGATTGTTTCAAAGAAATACGGATTTGGTCCGTGATGTTTCTTTCTTTGCTTTCATTCAAGCACGCGCTGGTAGATTAAAATTTTGCTGTAGGTATTTTTAGCGTTCAGGCTTTGTTTTTTTATTGTATATGTCAGCAAACGGCAGAGATGAAAAATGTGAGGGTGCGGGTATGAAATCTGGCTGGCTAAATAATTCTATGATTATTTAGACTGGGGTATCTGACATACATACAGAGGCTGAAGACATCCTGTTTCAATCCATAATTATAAGTAAGAAATTGCTATGCTGCCTTGAGCAAGCGTAATGATTGATGCGCAAATGTTATCCGTATGAGAAGAGGAATTTGCTCATGAGAGCACTTATAGGCTGATGATGAGGTCAGTAGAGTGCCTGTAAACCCCTCCAAAGGAGTTACAAGTGCGTTACTTTTTGTGGGCTGTTCAGGATTTGGGGTTGGCGAAGGGGAGGAAAGAAAAGGGCCTCCTCCTCTAACATCTCACACGGTTAAACACAACGTAAGCGTTAAATCACGCCGGTTTTATTCGAAGCCGTCTTTTTTTTCTGCTACATCCAAAAATCGTAGTCCCACACTAGGATTTTCTCCTGTGTCGTGGGTGCGGTTAAAACATACAATTCAACAACAATTTGTGGATCACACAAAGAGTTTTTCCGTGCGGGAATCGAACTCGCGACACGTTGCACGGCAGCCACTGCACCAAATGGGCAGCCGTGATACCGCTTCGTGCTGAAGCATGGCTCGCCTACACTTTGAAGGTTTAGTTGAGGGTGGTAGGTAAAAACGAGATCATTAAGGTTTCCCCATTTAAGGTATTCGTAGAATTTCGTGAGGTCATCCTTATTTGGAAACATGCTTAGTTTGATTTCCTGCTAAGTATGTATATAGTTGTCAGTACTGGTTCTTGCTGTAACTTGGTGCAGATGACTAACTTTACAAAGATAGCTAACTTAGTGACACACGGGGACAGTGTTTGAATTTTGTAACACAAGTTTAGAGTTCCGTGTGTTGAGGTCCCAAATCGTATCATGGTATGCTAGTCCCTGACTCATTGCAAAATCCAAGCATATGTTTGTATATAATACTAGCTAATCTCGCGCGGTTTCACCCGCTGCTCAGCTCCATTTAGTCGTAACGTTAAGGTTTATAGCCTATAGCACTCAGGAATAATGTAGCTATCTATCAGTGAAAGAATTTTGGAAGTCCGACCAGAGGTTCCAAAGATTACCCCTTACATACAAACTTACAAATTTTACCTCTATATTAGTATAGATTCAAAAGCTTTCATTATGTTATCAATTAGTTCCACAATTTTCTATTTGAGCGATGCTGCAAACGTTTCCTGAGAAATACGAGGGCGAGTTTTATAAAAGAAGGTGAGCAATGAGCATATTACCATCGTCGGTTTGCGGTCGGCGAGCAAGGGTAAAGGGGTCTGGTTCTGGTCTTCGCTTGACTAGAACCAGACCCGAATGTACGCTATGTGTACTCGCCTAAAGGAGCCATCAGCACACACAAGATGTGGCCACAAGGTCCGATGTCTAGTCAGTCCAGGTTTGCAGCCACCAAAAACTATGGACAATGGTCCCGGCTCAAAGCAGGAGCAGGAACGTGTTAATTTTTGATCAGTAAGAGTCTGACACTCTCATTCTGCCAAGCTGGGAGAGGCAAAAGAGAGAGAGAGCGTTTGAATTTGACGATTTTTCCCTTAAAAGTATAATTCAAGACGATTTGCAATGTAAATTAAAAATGGAAAATTATAGGTTTTGTTCAATTATGAAACAATAACAATAAATATTCAAGGAGACCTGGTAAAGATTCTATACCGTCGTCAAGCTATTTAAAAAAATAACGATATATAAATGAGGAAAACCTATGTAGGAGTCATCTTATATCTGACTGGTGTTTTAACATCATTGGAAACACACATTCATTTGTTCATACAATGTATTATTGTGAGATTTTCAATGCACTGCTTTCTTGGCCGAGTAGACATAGCATTGTAGATCAAAGTCTCGGCTTTTATTATTGGTTCCAAAAAAGCAATTTTGAAGAATGTTGAAAAAGCATTTTACGACATAATTTTCAGTAGTTGCTTGACATGAAATTTATAACGTCACAGAAGAATAGTGGGAGTAATACCAACCACCCACCATTAAAAAGGAAAGTGGGTGTTACATTATACTGCCTACCCCTACATTAAGAGAAGCAACGTTGTTCTAATGATTAAAGAATAAAAAACAAACAATCTAATATAAAATATAAGCACGAGTCTCTAATTATACTATAGCAACATATTATCCACTGTTCTTATATGCATTCGCATGTAACCTAATAATACCTTTGATAGGGATAAATGCATAATCTTTGCTTACACAACCTTCGTAGCGCTACGTGCTACGATGCTACGAAGCTACGACGCTACGTGCTACGATTTTGTAAATGCTACGTCAAAAAGATTAAGTAAACTACAATAGGTTACAATACGTTTAATAGTTGTAAATAGGAATATTATTGGTTGTACTTATAGTTGTAGTGTCTCTTTAAGGTGTTCGCTTTGACTGCATAGCAATACTTTGAGTACAAATCGTTTTTAATATTTTTATAAACAAGTTGTTTTTAAACAAAAAAGACATTTAAGAGCCCATTGTGTTGGCTTCGTCAGTCAAATGGTCTTACGTGCGACTGTTAAATTGACCTGACTCGTTTAATTATTGAGTTATATCTATAATTTCTGTCTCTCGTGTCTTGAATTTCGTTCATCCCATATTACAAGGGCCTCAACTATTCCGTCATGTATCTTGATAATAATTATACGACGATTGTCTAACATACTTACCAAGCGTAGATTATATTGTACCCATTGGATCCATATGGTTTAGAAGAGGACTCTTGACTCTGATTTTTGCTTATGATCTTTATGACATACTAGCTACTCCCGCGCGATTTCACCCGCTGCTCGGCTCCTTTTAATCGTAGCGTGATGCTTTATAGCCTATAGCACTCAGGAACATTGTAGCTATCTATCAGTGAAAGAATTTTGAAAATCCGACCAGCGGTTCCAAAGATTACCCCCTACATACAAACTTACAAACATACAAACTTACAAATTTTTCCTTTTTATAATATAAGTATAGAAGTATAGATTTTTCTACAACATAAAGAATCCAATGTTGTAGGTCAATTTTTTCCTTTTTATAATATAAGTATAGAAGTATAGATTTTTCTACCACATAAAGAATCCAATGTTGTAGGTCAATTTTGAACTCATATCATTTTCTTTGATCTCCAAGCCAGCATGAAACAAAGGAACCTAGTTATTCGATTAATTGCCTGCTCAGCAACACGCGTGCATACGCGTTGAATAAATATTTGTTTAAAAAACACAATAAAGCTTTGTTCCCACAATATTTTTATTGGTTTTTCCACATAACGGATCGTCCACATATTATAGGCGCGGAGCGGAGTTCTATTGAAAGCGATGTGATTTAATGGACTTGATATTGGAGTTTTAAGTTTTGTTTCACGTTATTATTAAAGATCTGTTGTTTTTCCGTTTTGCGATTCTCGTTAAGTTCTCAATTAGGTCGTATTTATTTTTGTCATTCAATTACTTTGAATTTAAATAATAGAGCAATAAGTATGGGAGTGCCAAGCTTTGGCATGAATGGGGCGACTCGGGCAAAATGACACCACAGCAACGCACTACGAGTGCATTATGCACCACTACGTGTAGTTTTCTGGGGTTGAGAGTGTCCATGGGCGGCCATTTTTTTATATGTAACATCTGTCTCTTTGCTCCGTGGGTGTCCGTAGCATTACCAGGCCCTATCAGAAGAATACCAGCGCTGCGGTATTTTTATCTTTTGGTAAATAATGGCAGCATACGAGTGCGTTGTGCACCACTGTGTACTTTTCTAGGGTTGCGAGTGTCCATGGGCGGCGCTGATTCTTTACCATCAGGTAATGCTAATAATCCACTCCTCATTTGCCGACCCATTACATAAAAAAGTGTTGCAACTAGTTACTGATTTTCTCCTTCAACAAAACTTGCATAACGATCCAAAGATGATAAAAAACATCTTAAAACATCGTATTAGCATTGCCTTTATTACGCAACAAGCCCAAAGTAATGACGTCATCTCTTACACAAGCGCCATGCAACCGAGTTTTACTAAATAAGTAATGATCAAACAGATATTCGTGAGCGTCGCACAAAACGGGAGATTTTGCGACCTGTCCGGATTACGCTACGTGTTCTGTGGTACCCGCCTATTTCTGTGCTGTGGTTGTTGGTGTACCAATGTTGGGACAGCTGAACCAACTGCAGGTAAAGTCCAACAGGTATACTTTGCAATGAACTTTATTTTTCATAGATAATTGTTGTGGCGGTAAAATTAATGGTGGTAAAAATTGTAAGAGTGTGTTTTGGTTAAAAGGTTTTAAAGATGGACGATTGTCAGCGTATAAAAAGAGGTCTAACATATGTTGACACAAAGAGGTCCAACGTGTATTGAACCTCTTCTTAGATTCTTTTTTTTTTATTAAACCATATACAGGTACGTTTGAAACGTCAAAGAAAATAATATTATTACTTTTTAGTAATCTATGGTCTCTCGGGTAAAAGATGCTTTCAAATTAGAGAGCCCAAATAAAACTACCGAAAACTTTGACTTTCAAATACAAATCTGCTATTAGTTCGATTTTGTAATTCGTATAAATAAAACTTTTACATTCATGTGTATTCAGGTGGTATTATATAGTTATGATTTTGACCCAAGTAAAGATGCTCAGTCGTCGCATTCTATGGTTCATGAAATTTTTTTGAATACTAACTATCGTGACACATACTATATTATTGAAAATAACGTTATTAAAATGAATTCATTGAGAAAAGTTCGACTAGTTTTAAGTCACGATATGACTCTTCTGAGCTAACTGTATAAAAACAAACTATTTACAATTGTTTTTATTTTATTTTATAAATTCATAAAAAAAACTCCAGCCACAATCATTGATATGATCGTAACCGCATTACAATTTACAAATTTAAAAACCAAATCACTAAATTTACGCTGTAAAAATACAAAAACCATGAAAAATTAATGATACACATTTTCTTAACTTTCTATATTAAAAACTAAGTGCCAAAAGAATTAATAAATCTTATAATAATACAAGCAAACAGCAAGAGCGATAAATAATGCTGTTGTAGATGTGGGGCTCATAGAATCAGCGCTGTTACAATGATCAGTAAAACACTGACAGACAGTCTCTAAATGGTCGCGGTTGTCAGCTCTGTAGCAATCTTTTTCGTGACGCACCCAACCACAGCCACGAGTCACACGAAGCTCGGAGTCTTTGTGAGGGTGGTAAACTGTAAAAGAGAAATAGAAATATAGAAATTAACTAGTTATACACTTCGGTATATTTCATCAGCTATATATATACAATATTATGAAGAACCTAAGTCTGGGAGAGTAATGCTGTGGCACGAATGGATTGGCTCGACCGGAGTAATACCAAGGCCTCGGCGTAAAAGAATCACAGCGTGGTGTTTGCCGTGTGCGTGAGGTTACAGAGTCCCAGTCCTTCCCTTCCCCCTGTTTCTACCCAATCTCTAAATCTCCAAAAGGTCACTAACGCACTCGTAACTATTCTAGTCTCACGGGTGTCTATGGGTGGCGCCGATTGCTTGCCATCAGGTAATACGAGTATGTCTGCTCATTTGCCGACTTATCATGCCATAGCCATGCTTCAACTCGTCCGGAGTGATACCACGGCCTTAGAGAAAACCGGCGTGAAAATATTACAGCGCTGTATTTCGCCATTTAATTGAGGTTACTGTAGGCCCAATACTTCTCCCCGATCCCTACCCGATCCCTAAATCTCCGAAATCCTTATCTCCAAGGCCAGCAACGCATGGGTAGCGCTGATTTTTTACTGAATTTTAAGGTAATACGTCTGCTTATTTTCCTACCTATCACATAAAGAATTAAGTTTTTAACATTATTGCTATTCAGAGAGAAATACTAACTGGTCTGCACAATCTTCCTGCAGAAGAAGGCATACTCGTCGACTCGGTTGACAGCAGTATTGCAGTCCACGATGGGTATGATGCGGCCTCGGATCTCGTCATCAAATTGCGATGGATCGATACAAGCCGAGTTGTTCGCGCTGTTACAGTAGAAACAGTATATCGCCGACGCTGCAACACGTAAAATATTGACATGTTAATAAAATTCAACCGCAGCGAGTTGACAGAATCATCAAATGACTTCTGTTATACTGGTGGGGTGGGGCGTCCCCGTGGGACACCATTCCTTGGTGCTGCTGCTGCTCCGTACAAGGTCGAGGTACATTATTTCGCTTGCACCTACTTTTTTTTCAACTAGCTGATTAGCAGTCAGCAAATTTACATACTCAACCAAGTAATTAATTGCCGAAGTTGCGGGGTAAGCGCTATAAGGGACCGCGGCCTCAGCCTAGAGCAGGATAAGGAAGGAGAGGTCACTTAAAAATTTCCACTTAACAAAAAAAAAAAACAAGTAATTGATTAAACAATGTTGAAATATCTTATACAATGGTTACAATGGAAATGTGACGCATTCATTTCAGAATGTATCTATAAAACAAACAAAGCTTTTAAGTGATAGTGATAAACATTTGTAACGACGGAGTTACAAGCGCGTCGCCGACCTTTTGGGGATTAGAGATATTTTGGGATTGGGGAGAGATTGGGGTAGAGGAAGGATTAGGCCGCCGGTAACCCCCTCACACGGCGAAACACAACGCTGTGGTTGTTTCGCGCCGTTTTTCTGTGAGGCCGTGGTATCACTCCGGTCAAGCCGTCTCCGACATTGAAATGTTGATCCGAATTGAGATTAGATAATTCATTTATAGACATCCACTTTTCAATGAATTTATATTATAAGACGAGACGGTTTTGAATACTGGCTTGAATTAAAAGGTTCGATGAATGCCTTTAGAGTCAACCCTACCTCGTACTAACATAACAAACAAGATTCTATTACTGAACATGTTATTTTCAACTATAATAATGTAAATATAAAGTTCAGTTTCCTAGTTCCCTTACGAAAATCGAATTATCACGCTTAATTGAGCAAGGTATCGTGTTTTACAATCGCAAGATCCTTACTTACATCTCTAATTATAAATATCTAAATAATGTTTATATGTAAACTAACGAGTCTGTGAGAGCCATGCTTCGACGTGAATTCATGGCTCGACTGGGGTGATATCACAGCGTCACAGAACCCCAGTATGACATTTTTTTTTTGGTTGGCCTAGGTTGCGGCCGTATGGAGTGTGAGACTCCAAGTGACTAAAAACTACTCGTTCCTCCTTCTGTTTCAGGCCGGAGGCTTGATTTGCCGTCCACGGCCTCACAGATTCGGTATGAAACCACCACAATGTTGTGTCTCGCCGTATGGGAGTGGTTACCGAAAGACCAATTCTTTCTGTCCTTTACGAATTCCTAAGACCCAAAACGTACTCGGAACTCCTCTGATGTTTAGGGTGTCCAAGGGCACATCAATTGCCCACCATCAGGTGATAAGTTAGTTTACATGTCGCTATTATTATAAAAAAAAAATTACTTAGTTCTTTTACATGTCTCCGAGTCCAGTAAAAAGACTGACTACTGCCAACAATAACACGTTTTCTGCAAACGAAATTGAACTTACATTTGTAAACCAACGATAAGAATATCGTTATTGACACCAGCAAGCTGTTTGGAGACATCTTTGCTATCTGTAAAAAAATAAGCATTAGATTAATAACAACGTAAACAGTTTTTATTGAGTTTACCAAAAAATCGACATTCGATGTAACCTTTTAGTACAATTTGTAAAACAAGGTGGAATGTTGATCTCCTTTTTATCTAAAATCTAGCCTACTAATTTCCAGGCGACAGGTATGAGTGGATACCGGTCCCCCCCCCCCCTCTCTCTCTCTCTCTCTCTCAATCACTCAGTCACTCACTCACTCTCAGACACACACACACACACACACACAAAGAGACACTTACATGCACACACACTCACACACACAAATATCATATTAACATTCACACATTCTCAATAACTTTCTCATTTATGATATAGACTATAACTGCGATGGTTAGAGATTAAACGATTTTGTGAACAAAATAGCTGTAACCACTATTATTTGAATTACAGATAAACTATGATTTTGATAAATGATGTGAAATAACACTGAAACAGTACTAGAATTACCGATTGCAAAACTGAAATTAAAACAATAGTAGGTAACTGAAAGACCTTTAGTCAATTTTTATTTAAGGCAACTTAATTTACAAACCATCCCAATCAAACCATTTGGGTAATTCTCTAAGGAACTCTTCTTTACAAATTACTTCCACTAGCCACCTTCCAATTCCATCAAAACAGCTGGTACCTATCATAATTTATAACGGTTCATCTACATATTATGAGCGACTACACCGCAGACCAAGTCACCAAGTCGTGATGGCCCCGAGATTAAAATGCCCGCTTTTCATGAGACGTGTTCGAAACCTAGCAAATACAAATGTTACTTTTTCCGAGTTATAATGTACTTTCTATGATTATTTAGACACCACTGACATACGGTGAAGGAAAACATCGTGAGGAAACCTGGACTTATAATTTCAAATTATAAGTTTGTAATCACCAATCCGCTTTAAGCAAGCGTGCCGATTAACCTCATCTGTGCGAGAAGAAGCCTTTACTCAGCATTGGGCGCTTATAGGCTGATTATGATGATGCACAGTAGACACGGTGGCTAGGCTACCGGCAACCGTGCAACGTGTCACCGGTTCGAACCCGCACGGAACCATTTGTTGTTTCCCCTTACAAATTGTTGTTCCGGATCTGCGTGTGATATCCAAACTAATATTATAAATGCGAAAGTAACTCTGTCTGTCTGTCTTTTCTTCACGCCTAAACTACTGAACCGATTTCTGTGAAATTTGGTACAGACATAGTTTGGAACTCGAGAATGGACATAAGATAGTTCTTATACCAAAAATCTGCAGGAAGTCACTATTCCACGCGAACGGAGTCAGGAGAAGAAGCTAGTGTGTATATAAAAGGGTATTTTTGTACCCACGACACAGGACAAAATCTCAATGTTAGAAACATTGAAAAAAATATAAGTTTCATAATAATATAACTATTAAAAGTATGTGTAATTTTGATTCTCAGAATCTATAAAATAGTTACTTACAGGTCGACCTAATAAAAGGGTATTAAAATGTCTAGCGATCTCTGAAGACACCGTTAATGCCTTTAATAACTTTCTTTTAACACTAAGCACAAAATATAATGCCTCCCTAATAAGACTTTTTCACCCTTTCAGCGTTACTTTAAGACTATTATTACATAAAAAGGTCGGAAGTCATTAAAAACTGTTAATGTAATGGAGTGAAGCTGTAAGAAATAAATAGTAATTTATTTAAATTATGCTTTGACGGGAATGTGGTATTGCAGTTGGTGTTAAAAGGCCTTCAAATTAAAAAAAAAGCATTAAGGGTGTTTGACAACGAAAGGTGATCTCCGGCCATTGTAAGCGCGTGTCTGTGGACGGTGAGTAGCCCGCCGCCCGACCAGAGCCAGGCCGTGTACGGCGCGTTGCGTTCCGCGTTCAATGAGCCAATAGACCACCACAGACGGGGCCCTATAGAGCTAATGTTCAGCCGGGGTTGCGGGAAAAACACAATAAGGCACCGTGGCCTTGACCTAGAGCAGGAGAAGGAACGGGGGAGTTTTAGTCAATAAGAGTCCGACTAATCTGAAACTAACTAAGAAGTCATTTGATGATTTTCCCCTCACAAAAACATCATGTTTGACGAAATATCACTTATTTCATATGTACTGAAAGATAAAAATTCGCAATTTTTTACCGTCAATTAAAATAATAGAAAAAAAAATTGAGCAGAACTAAAACAGAGTACTTGTTCTGCGATTTTGGCGGTCTCTCTAGTTCTGTGCCCATAGCTCTCGCCGGAACGCCCATACCAACCTGTTCTGATTTTCGGTACCTTGGCTCGCTTATCCAAGGAAATGGTGAGATAGACCGAGACGTGGCACATCGGATCAACTCAGGATGGATGAAATGGCGACAGGTCACTGGAACAACTTGCGACCCACGGATGCCCCTCAGGTTGAAGGGTAAAATCTACAAGTCAGTGATAAGGCCTGTCCTACTGTATGGGTCAGAATGTTGGGCTCTGAAAAAGACGGATGAAAAGCGATTGCATGTAGCAGAGATGAGAATGCTGAGATGGATGTGTGGTGTGACGAGAATGGATAAAGTGAGAAATGAGTATATTAGAGGAAGTTTGAAAGTGGCGCCAGTGACTGAAAAGTTGAAAGGGAACCGTTTGTCTTGGTATGGCCATGTGAAAAGGAGGGATGAAAAAGCATGTAACAAAAAAAGTCATGAGTATAAATGTGGATGGATGGAGAGGGAGGGGGAGACCAAAGAAAATATGGATGGATTGTGTGAGAAGTGATATGGAAGACAGAGCAGTTAGCGATAGCGTGACGAGTGACAGGACAGAATGGAAGAAAAAAACAGATTGCGCCGACCCCAAATAAAACGGGACAAGGGCAGGAAGATGATGAATTAAAATATTAGAAAAGGTAGTTATGGAATGTGTTTCTGTCTGACAGTTTTAAATAAGTATTGGTTCTTTGTTCCGGAACTAGGTTTCTAGCCAGGCCAAGAGACTCAATATACATTTCGATACTCTATACTCAATATTCCATACACCTCTGATTATAAATAATAGGGCATTGTAAGTACATACATTTATAGATAAGTTGACCACACAAAACTATGGTACTATCAAGCTGGCTTGATGGTGGAAATCGAAGGTGGCTGATAAACTTCTGACCTGCTATTTCCTTGTAAAAAATTGAGCTCAGACAAAACTTGAGATAATAAATATGTTATTTTTCTGATGACACATCTAATGGCCTTAACTTTTAGTGTAATAAAACCGTATTTGTAGATAGAAAGAATAGATTTTTTTTTAATGTTAGAAGAATTATATCTTTTCTTTAAATAATACATTGTTCCACTAAAGTTTTTTCTGCTATCTTGTGGGTGCGTTTACAAACATGTAATTTCACACACACTTCACACATTTTTCCGAGCAACAATCGAACCCGCGACAAATTTGTCGGTTACCCATCCAACGGGACAACTTTGCCGTCTTTAAATGAAATATTCATAAAAGAATACTTACACTCAATTTAAAACAATACTTGTACACTACAAAAACACAAGACCACGATATTAAATTTAATAATTTACAATATTTATATTTTTAAGAGGTCACAATGACACCAAACCGCACTTCTATCTGTTACAAAGATAACTGAGGAAGCTTCTAAATAATATATTATTACATAATTATATGTGTATGTATGTCTGTCTGTCACGGTGTCTGTACTAGGACCTGCGAGTCTTGAGCATTACTTTGTTAGGTAATTTTTATTAGACTTGCTTCTTCCAGCGGTTTCGTTCGTGTTACCTGGTTAAAAAGTAGCCTACATATATGTTCTATTAATTCGCTATTTAATTTAGAATCGTGTTGAAGTTTTTTGCTTCAAACTGTGACGAATATCTATCTGTCCATCCATTTATACTTACAAACTATTACGTTGATTTTTTTAAGCGAACCGACTAATTAGGGAGAAATGGTTGGGGAGGCGTAGTGTCAGACTCTAATTGACTTACTAGCATTTGCCCACTTTGCCCGCGTGGTATGTTAATAGAAAGTTGCTTATGTCCTATTCCAGAGTGTGTCTATGCCTGTGCCAAATTTCATCCAGATACGTTCAGTCGTTTTGGCGTGATTGAGTAACAAACGTCCGAAAATCGTAACTTTCGCATTTTTTATATTAGTAAGAAGTAAGAAAACTAGTTTATAATATTAGTAGGATTGTTAAATTGTTATTATTGGTCTACATGCGATTATGGAAACTTATTTGATCTAACCAAAGGCTGATTTTTCAATCGTTAGATAAAAGTTACCCAGGGAATAATTATGATGCTGTCGCGTCAGAATGTTTGTATAAGACAGTCACAGCAACAATTTTATTCCTCAGATTACATTTATATGTCTATTGAAAAATCAGCCCTAAGCTGATGATAATCATTTCTTGGTAGGATACTATATTATAGACTCTTGTAGCTCTTATGTAATGGTGTGGAGAAGGTTCCTCTGCCTACACACATTGTTAAAATATCAAGCTTATTCCCACGTTACATTTAGTTTATATTACTGGGAACTAGTTTACCGCCCTCGGTTTTACTAATGTAGCCTTAAAAATTCAATTCAAAAACAGAATCTAGTACCAATTCGACAACGAAATCAAGAAACATATTAAATTAAAAAAGGTATTTTTGGATGTACACCCGCAACGGAGTTACGTTGCGATTAGGGTTTCGGAGATTTGAGGATTGATGGGGGATGAGAGAAGCGAAGCATTGGGTTACCGGTAACCTCATTCAAGCGGCGAAACAACGCTGTGGTTGTTTCAAGCCAGTTTTCTGTCTGTCTGTGTATCTCAAACTTTGAATGTATCAAAAAAAAAATAATAATTCGCTTTTAGGTATATTTATAAATTAGTAGGGACTTACGGGGTAGGATATATCAAACCGCAGCCGGTTTGTTTAACAAACATTCCTACATACGGAGAAATACTCATGTATATTAAGTTATTTATTTTATA